TAGAAACAAGTAACAGGGGAAGATATAGCAACGACCCACGACAGCGTGCGAGAGAACACGAGATAGATGGATGCGTACTTCTATTACATACTCCGTAGGCTTTAACCCGCAAGGGTGCGGTGAGGCCCCTTTGAGCAAGACAGGCTTGGGGAAGGAGCCCCCACCAGGCAGGTTATATCTTTTTGTCTTTCACATTCTACTTAAAAAACTAAAAATGTCAAAATGACAAAAAATAGTTTCTACCACCTTTGTGCTATAAGAATGATTAGTCCCTCATGTTAGAAAGGATGAATAGTTGCTCTGTTTATTTTCATCAAGTGCCTAGTTTCCAACTTGACACTAACCTGCATTTTTAGTTTGTTGGCCTTAAAATGATTCCACCATGAACCTAAAACTTTGTGGGATACAAGTGCTTGAACTAAGTATAAGTTTGTTGTGAGATATGATATAGTAAGATTGGAGTTACTATCATCCTATTCCAAGTGAGACTAATTTTTTGGAGTTATTTGTTTTTGAAAGGAACAAAAATTTGCAAAGTTCCTCAATGATCTGAACATGACAAAACCTTTCTACATATGCTGCTTGACAAATATTTGTGTTTAGAATAACTTTATAGTTTATCTCTAGGATTTAATGAAAAATTTAAACCATCTTTTTAACCAGCATCACATGTAGGCAATGTACAGCACATCATGTTAACTTAGAATATATATTCAATCTAGGGCATCATGACAAACATTTGTGCTTAGAATAACTTTATAGTTTATCTCTAGGATTTAATGAAAAATGTAAACCCTCTTTTTAACCACCATCACATGTCAGCAATGTAGCACATCATATACATGTATGATGAACATCAATGCTCATGGTCTAACATATTTAACATCACAGGTGTTAAGAGGACCCGTCAGCTTCTAAGGTCGTATGGCCAATGGAACTCGACTAGTTGGCAGGTTCACTGCCTGACTCCATCAGCTAACTGCTAACTTGTATGTACAGAGAACTCTATGTGTAGTACCTAATTAAATTCATAAACTTTAAATTTAATGCATAAGCCCGTCTAGCTCAGTCGGTAGAGCGCAAGGCTCTTAACCTTGTGGTCGTGGGTTCGAGCCCCACGGTGGGCGGGATTGTTATTTTTTTTTTACTATTTTCACTTTTGATGCTGGTGGATCATTGTAGGGTTATTATCGTCATGATTATGAGGAAGCAACCTACACAGGCCAACGTTTTTAAAAAAAATCTTATTTGCATCCTAAATTTTGAGAAACAGTTCAGAAAAAAGTCATATCATTGTAAATTGATAATACTAAACGGTGAAAAAGCAAAAGAGGATTTCACCATCAATGCATACTTCCGCGTCACAATTGTTATCGTGGTAAAAAGAGGACTAGTAGCAACAGCTCAATTGCGATGCCTATCTTTTTGTTTCGCTTTGTTTGGCCATAGCTTTGGCAAAATATGCTTCACACTTCACAGTGCTTACCCATTTCGGATATCAGTAATAAACCATTTAGATGTTTTCCCCTAACCCCACTTAAATAATGCTTTAGAGAAGAAAAATGTCTGTTTCATGAAACACGAAATTGGTATGTGTACCATTTTCATATTTATATTTTTCTTAGATATATGATACTTCTCGGTGGATTATATGGGCAAAATTGGAGAAATAAAGTGAGTACCCTTTTTTCACCAAACATCGTTAGTATTGCTCCCTCCATTCTGAAATACAATGGATTCAAATTTATAAAAAATAATAATATTTACGACATCAAATTAGTACCATTGGATACGTTATGAAATATGTTTTCATAATTTACCTCTTTGTTATCAGAGTTGTTAATACTTTACTCTATATATATTTGATCAAACTTAGGACCGTTTGACTTAGGACAACTCAAAATCTCTTAGGGTCTGTTTAGATGTAGATATTGGAGTGCTGGAATTGACTTATGCTCATTTCCAAATTAGCCTTAGTATTGAAATTGGGCGCAATGCAAATTATATTGTTTGCATCTGCATTGAATTAGATGTTGGATTTTGGGAGGGGTGCCGGATGTGAGGAAGATGGGATGTTTCGTCGATGGAAGAGGAGCATCAGGGTGGATGCCTCAGTGGTGGTGGAGATGTGTCGGGCGAAAGAGTGTCGGGAGTGGTCGCATGCGTCGAGGAGGCGGAGCATCAGGGCAGAGGGGTGTCAGGACAAAGGAGGGTCGGCGTTGGGGGCAGAGGAGGGTCGGTGTTGGGCGGAGAAGCATTGGGGAAGTTGTTGAGTGCCGAGCAATACAAAGGGGGTGGCTCGGTATTGAAGATGAGGAGTTGCAAGGATAGTGAATACTGCTTGGTATTAGGGTCCAATTCGAATTCCAAATTCTTAACCATCCAAACAACTGCATATGGAGCTAGCCAATACCAATTCCATGTTCTAAGGGATATCTACATCCAATTGGGGTATTATATTTCATGACATAGGGAGTGTTGTGGTAGTATGTCTTCTTGTCACAAGTAGGACGTTTTGGACATGATATCATCATATTTCTCTCTGTGTTTTTTTTGGAAGAAGGACGTGATAGGATCTGTTGTGCATGTATGTTTCGGATCGGATCACTAATTTCAATTAGAATGTTTTACCTAAATTGGATAAATATATTATGGAAACCTTTTTCAAGACAAATCTATACGCTTAATTTTCTATGTTTTCAAATTAACTATTTCAATGTGATTGACGCTTAAATATAAAATTTGGACTATGTTTTATCCAAAAAAGAAGTATTTATGACAGGAAGAAAAACTAGTTGTTTTTGTTCATCAGTACATTGTGAATTGTGATTCAATTCTGATTTTTTTTTAAAAAATGCTCTATGCAAACTTTTAGTGCTCCTGCCTACCTTTCACGGATAAACGGTTTGGACAATTCGAAAAAAAGGATAAACAGCTTTGGCAAGACATCTGTTGCGCGCTTGCAGTTCAAGGGAGGCGTTCGAGTCTTGCTCCACGGCTAGAGCTAGACGAAAAACTTGTGATTCGATAATTCGCTCTATTTGGCTCGTTAGTGACTTGATTTGTTAGTGACTTGGGTCATTAGTGGTTCAACTCATATTAACTCGTTTACATTTTTTAACGAGCTAAACCAGCAGTTTAGCTTATTTTTATTAACAAGCCGGCTCGCGAGTCTAACGAGACAACAAAGATCCAATTGGTGTAGACATGCTGGTCCGAAGTAGCCCAATCCAATTCCACGGCCCAACAACTAGCCAAGCGGTTGTGAAGGGGTGAACAACCAGTTTTAACCGAAAATTCGGTTCGGTGTTTTCGATTTTTAGAAACTTCAGTTTTCATAAATGAGTAATTGATCAGTTAGGGCTTGTTTTGAAGACTGGTTTTAGACTACCCTTGTAAAATACAGGTCTGGATAATTATACAGGTTGGATTGAAAAATGCTGTTTGGATGGCCGGTCAAGCTACTAAAATTACAGGTGTATTAGACTGTTACAACCGGGAAAAAATAAAGACCTCATCAGGCGACAATTTTAATCCGACGAATATCAGGCTCAACCCTCCGACTCCGCACACCGCTCGTCAGCCGACGGAGGCTCTCCCCGCCCTGTCTTGGCAGCAATCTCCCTCCCCAGCCGAGCTGCCGCCTCCGGTTCCTATGCGCCACGAGGAGCAGGGAGCCGTGGCCGTCCCCGTCTATGGCGTCACAGGGGAGCGCTCGCCGGCTCGGGCTCTGGAGCGGCGAAGTCCCGGAGCTCGCCGCTCAGTGTCGCGTCCAGCCGAGGCGGCCCATGTCGTCGACTGCTACCTCTGATGATGAAGCGATGTCGCCTTTGGCATATGCCTGCCGGCAGCTTCGCTGCCGTATTCATCTGCTGATGGGAAGCAACGCCCTCGCCGTCTCCGTTCGACCAGCTGCCGCAAGCCCGACCGCCCGTCTGCAAGTGCAAGCCGACATGCCTCGTCGACCGCCGCTGCTGGATCCGCCTCGAGGCTCTGTCCCAGAATCGTTTGATGCAGATCTACGGCCTCAAGCTCGGATTAGGCGGCGTGGATTTGGACAAATCTGTGGCTGACTCGTTTTCAGTAGGCGCACAAAGAAGCCATTGCTGGTGCACCAGTGGTTGAGTATACGTGTGCGAGAGGACTCGATGCCCGTAGCCGTCCATGTGACGCGAGATGCAGATGACGAGTGGACTCCGTGGAAGCAGCTTACCCAAATGGACATTTTACCCACGAAAGAAAATACGGTTGTATTCTAGTGCACATGATATTACATCCGGAAGCTAATTACCGGTGAATAAAGTTACAAGCTACCAAACAGGACCTTAACTATAAAATGGAGAACCACAAGTTTGGTGTCACTTTTTTTACATGGTTTTCTTTTTGTTTAAACCGAAAACCGGAATATGCTCCACGAGAATTAGCTTGCCGCTCTCGAGGATCGGTGGTGACCAAAGAGGGCTCTTGCGTTGTCCCTTTATTTGCAGGTGGCATGGTGCATATGCATGCTTGTGCCCGTACAGCAGCGGCGACGAAAGCTATGCATGGCGGTTGGCAGGTGCTGTCAATGTCATGGCAGGTCCCGGTACTTTGGTCCAGGATACAACAGTATTGTACTATTGGTCGAATGTGTGTCCGGTTCGTTGGCCTGACGGGCAAAGTATCGTTAGATGATTTGCTGAGAGAAATATTATTCGTTCATCGAAAAAATAAAGCCGAACCAGGACGTATGTTACGTGGCACAGTGCCAGCTTCCAGCTCAGCCTCGGCGGTGGCTCACCTGCTCGCTCCGTCGCTCCGTCGCTCCTGGACAATTGGTCAAATCCCCGCTCGAGCTTGATACAACACACAACACAAGGCTGTCTCTTCTCCCCCATCTCAAGAAATGGACTTCGATTAGCCCGGGGACGCTCCTGCCTCCTGCTAGTCGCCGCGCAATTCTCGGCAGCCAGCTGAGCCAGCTACTAGTAAGTAGTAACTAGTATAGCCGCGGGGGGGAAATGAGGGATCCGGATGCGGAGGCGGCGTCGCGCCGGCGGTGGACGCTGGTGCTGGTGAACCTGGCGTCGGTGCTGGAGAAGGCGGACGAGGTGCTGCTGCCCGCCGTGTACAAGGAGGTGGGCGCCGCGCTGGGCGCCTCCCCGACGGCGCTGGGCTCCCTCACCCTCTGCCGCGCGCTCGTGCAGGCCGCCTGCTATCCGCTCGCCGCCTACGCCTCCGCGCGCCACGACCGGGCCCGCGTCGTCGCCGTCGGCGCCTTCCTCTGGGCCGCCGCCACCTTCCTCGTCGCCATCTCCGGCAGCTTCCTCCAGGTCCGTCCGTCCGTCTCCCCAATTTCCTCCCCGCTCTTCCTCCTCCTCCTCCTGTCTCTGACGAAACGGACCCAGACCAAACCTCCTCGCTTTTAATTCGGTCTCGCACGGCACGTCGGCACTACCACCAACCAAACGTAGCGGTTATCCGAATATTCCAGTTTAATTTTTGCAACACAAAATAAAGAAGGTCGATGCTATTTCGGTCTGACACGTGGGGCCCATCCGCTGACTCGCAAAACTGTGGCTCGCGCGCGCCGCGCTCGCATGCGCACTGCGCAGATGGCGATCTCGCGGGGCCTCAACGGCATTGGCCTCGCGCTGGTGCTCCCAGCGATCAGCTCCCTCGTCGCCGACCACACCGACGACCACACCCGCGGCGCGGCCTTCGGCTGGCTGCAGATGACCTGCAACCTGGGCTCCATCCTGGGGGCTCCTTCGGCGTGCTGCTCGCGCCGATCACCTTCCTCGGCGTCGCCGGGTGGCGGGTCGCCTTCCACGCCGTGGCCGTCATCAGCGTCGCGCTGGGCGTGCTGATGTGGCTCTTCGCCGCGGACCCGGCGAGTCCGGCCGCCAATAAGTCCAAGAACGCGGCCTCCGCGACTGAGGAAGCCAAAGAGCTGCTCCAGCACGCCCGGCGCGTCCTCGGGGTGACCACGTTCCAGATCATCGTCGCGCAGGGGATCGCCGGCTCCATCCCGTGGTCCGCGCTCAACTTCTCCGCCATGTGGCTGGAGCTCGTCGGGTTCACCAACTGGGAGACCAGCGTCATCACGGGGCTGTACCTGTTCGCCACCGCGCTCGGCGCGCTCTTCGGGGGACTCATCGGAGACCCCGTCGCCAGACGGTTCCCCAACACCGGTAGGATCGCGCTGGCGCAGATAAGCTCGGCGTCCGCGCTCCCGCTCGGCGCCATCCTGCTGCTGGCGTTGCCCAATGACCCGTCCACCGGCGTGGCGCACGCCGTCACGTTCTTCGTCATGGGGTTCGCCATCTCCTGGAACGCCGCGTCGACCAACAAGTATGATCGATATGATGCTTTTGTCTTAGGCATTTTGCAAATCTGTTTTACAGTATCTTGTTGCGTTGCATTGCTTTGCTTGCTCATTGTCCATTGTCTTTCTTCCTGCGCAATTGCATTGCAGCCCCATCTTCGCGGAGATTGTGCCGGAGAAGGCGAGGACGACGGTCTACGCACTGGACAAGTGTTTCGAAGCGGTGTTTGCGTCGTTCGCGTCTCCCATCGTCGGTGTTCTTGCGGAGCGCGTGTTCGACTATAAGCCGGTCTCGTCCGACACGAACGTGGACACGGACAGGGAGAATGCCGCCGCGTTGGCAAAGGCTGTGTACACGGAGATCGCCGTGCCCATGGCCATCTGTTGCCTCACCTACACCTTCCTGTACTGCACGTACCCCCGAGACAGGGAGCGCGCTCGAAAGGAGCTTCTGATGGCATCGGATGACCAACTCGGTGGAGAAGCCAGTGACAATGATTCAAGTGCGGTTCATACACGGGTAGACGAAGAATCTTCTGTCATCTCCTTAAATCAGAGGCTAATATCTTGAGGAGGCTACCAATAAGGCAATAAGGTGGAGGTGGGAAGAGCAAGACAACCAAATCTGAAGTCCTGCATCGTTTCCTGGACTATGTCACTCATCAAGTGTTAATAGATGAAACATGCCTCGTCAGAACCATCGTTACCGGTTACCACGCATGGAAAGACGAAATCTACAGACTATATTTGCATCTAAACTCCTATTGAACTTTTGTTGCATATAAAATCCGATCCAACATGAGAAATGCAACTCTTTACATGATAAAAATCCACAAAACATCGATAAAAATAGGCAAATGAGGCTCCTTTGCCGTCTTTGTGCTTCTCAATTATTTCTTTAGCAGATTAGAGCGCAGAACATGATTTCACAAAACTAGGTAGGAATTAATTCGTTCTCGTTTTTGAGATGATGTTTGCAGACAAAAACTAACTGTAGAAAAAACAATTCAGTTTTTCTTGATTCTTGACTATGAAAAGCAATCGAAACACACATAAATCAATGGAGTTCTGTGCATAAATTTGGCTGCTTACATGTCAGGTTTCCATAAGATTGACTGCAATCAGAATTAAGTTCGAAAACTGTAAACGACAGCCAACTAATATATGTTTTTCTAAAAAGACTTGTAACTTGGAATGGATTGAGTAAAATAGAAGCTTCCTAGCAGAAGCATACTCTAAGCCGACGGCCTTGTCAGGTGGCAATTGAAATAAGTAAGAACTGTCTTTTTCTTTAACAAAATTTAGACAAAACAAAGGCAAATTTGTACAGATGATTTTCACGAATTATTTTTTATTAAAACGATTTCTCGCCCTACTGATACTTCATTGTCTTTTCAGAAAAGAAAAAAACATTAGTTTGTAGCGATTTGATCAAAGGAACCACATGTATGAACAGTTAAAGTAAGTTAATAAATTACAGAATTGCAAATATCTATGAAACTGTATACAAATAACTGATATATCCATGCTATAATGAGGTCAGTCAAGTAAAACATGTGTATTCGCTATTTACAGCACACCTCCCTTGAGGAAAGTTGCCAGCCTTAAGAGCAAAGGGCACAACCGCACAATGCACAGAAAGAAACCTGTAACAAAAATTTCAACATTTATCATGACATCTTCAGAGAGAATTAGCCATATAGTTCAGTAAACATAATTTCAACTGTATATTCACCATTTGCAGTATAAAACTGAGGAGTCTTGACATAAACGACTGGACGATTGCTGCTACTTAATTAGCTTGTTTTAGTGGCAGAAAACATTATATAGAATCCACTTCTGACAAATTTGAAATCAACCAGCCCACATGCTTTGCAAATATCTTCAAGCTCCACTTCAGATAAGAAGGTATTGTTGCCAGTTATTTGGCTAATGTACTGCAAGATAATTCCAAAAGGAGATGTAAGAGAACAGAGCAAGGCAAAGTGAATTTACATATAGCAACACAAGATGATCGAAAATTTAATCTTTCATCCACTAACTTGGAGGAGTCAAAACACTAAGGAACCACTTCAGGTTTAATGTGAATCAGTCTGTTGTTACAGGAAAACCATTATTTTGTGGATAATTTGGAGTTGGAATTACCGGGCGTGCGATCCTCAATACTGGAATAGCTGGTGGAATGACATCTGCTACAAATGTCGAAGCAACAAAAATTCCCCCTGGGCGAAGGACTCTACTGATATCTGCAACCTATGAAAAGATCATAAACGCAATAAGCACTTTAACCAATTGTCACCAGGTAGGGGGAAGTGAAAAGCATAAAGGTAGATCTCTCAGCAGGTATATCGAGAAGTTGAAAGATTGCTAAAGTTGTTAATAAAAGCAATTCCTTGTTCGCTATTTTATCAAGCTTATTTGTGAACATGTAGTTTGTAATACAGGACCCTGAATAAGTTGGCCTCTTACTCGTTTGGAGGTTGTGCTCATGCACTCACATGATTGTGAACCATGGGGGAAAGATGAACACAAATGTAACATGCATGTGGGTTCAACACACAAGATTCATTCACATTGTATATGTATTTTCGAGGAGCGGTTATGGAAGTAGCAGACTAGTATGCTGCCACATATTTTGAGGCACATAGGAAAGTGCAAACTAGTATTTAGGTTAACATAGAAAATACATGATGGAAATCTTTTTGATGGAAGTACTCAAATTAGCATGCTGCCATGCATTTTGAGTGCACAGGATGTGGAGTAACCGATTAAGTTCGTTAATACTTACAAACACTGTAAGCACAGGGGTTTATTGTTAAGCTCTTTAAGAATGCAATTATGAAACACATAAAGCAATGGAAACTTTTTGACATAAATTGGCAATTCAAATTGGGGTCTTACAGCACAAGCTGGGGATGGCCAACAATGAATTGCAGCACCTGCATGCACAGCATCAATTGAACCACTCACAAAAGGGAGTCTGGATATGTCAGCCCTCACCAATGCTAATCTCCTGAAACAAAAGAAGTGTAATATTACAGTTTGCAATTGACATTTTTATAATAAACTAATAATCACAACAACAAAGCTACAAAGCATGAATACTGACATGAAGGAACAACTAACTACAGAGGCTTAATAAGTCAAACATGACAAGTAGGGTACAGAACTAAACCTAATGATCAAAGGCATACTCATCTGAAATGTTTTCCTGCTTGATGTATTCATTGCACTGCTTCAACATATTCTCTGAGAAATCCAGTGCCACAACAAGAGAATATAGCCCACTCTTAACAAACAATCTTGAGAACAGGCCACTTCCACAACTTGCATCAACAATAGTCCCTCCAAATGTTGGCTTCAAATAAGTTTTTGACATTTCAAACTGTAGGCATTGCAATGTTGTTTAGAAATCTGAAAATGTGTGTGCTCATACAAATGATATGTAAATGCTTAAACATATGTAAGTTGCCAAGGAAACCAAACCTGGCTCAACCCAGGATTCAATTTAGGGTCAAGCAAAGCTTGACATTAGAACCTTGGCTACGTGAAAAAAAAAAAAAACTGGTGGCACATCATCAACAGCCAAACAGTTGCAATGGGCCCAGCCTGGATGCAAGGCCTTATTTTTTCTAGAATGGCCAACCGAAAAGGTGATCAGGTATAAGTAAAATACCATGATCAAAGGTTCTTCAAGAGCTCTTGAGTACCATATTTTTTTCATGGGGAAAGGAAAGGAAAGGGAGCTACTAATCAAATTTACATAGAGATGATTGGAAGACATAAAGTTCACAAATGCAATTGAACATCCTTATGAATACAACATAGTTAAGCAGCATGACCTCTCTCTCTAGGCCTGGGAAACCACCCCATATAAAATTTTGGCGCCATCCTCTTTCGTAAAGAAACGATACCAGTGGAGTCCTGTTCGAATAATCATCTGTAAGGACTAAGAAAAAATCTGGTAGAACTAATTGACAAATGCAGTCTCATATTCTTGGTCCCCAGCTCCCCAAAAGAAACAGTTTGGCAAACATTGATACTAGTATGACATGCAACCTTTAATTGTATGCAAAAGAAAGTATCTCTGTCGCAGCATTTTCAAGGCTTCAAAAAGACATCAAGATTTCTTGCGTTTCCGATTTAGAGGCTTAGAGCCTTAGGAATACTTTCAGCTGTTAGTTAGTGGGGGTAATTTTTAAAAGAATTCCAACTCTCTTAGAAGTGAAGCAGAAGGACAAGTGAATCATGCCCCTAATTTAGGACACACTACAATTTTAAGCTTCAGAAGGTCAATTTCGTCTGTGATTAATTCCCTCACCCCCTCATTTCACCCAGATCCACCAGGACAACTAATCCAAGAAAAAACAAACAAACCTCCTTACCTGAACAACTCTGTTGCTGCGGGCATGGATTCCGAGTACTCCGTCGAACCAACTGACACTGTAAGATCCCAGTAATCCTGCTTGTTGGGGTAGAATTTCTTGCAGGTTGAACATTCGAGACTGGAAGCATCGCTGGAGATGAAGAAACAACCATCGATTTGGGAAGCTGCGTGATAACCAGTTGGCTGTGGCAGTGGCAGGTAAGGCGGTGCGGAACGAAATGGTGAAAGGCCACTTACTCCGACTGATCGCTCGAGCTCGCGAGGGGGTAGTAGCAGATTGGACACGCCAGCTTCCTCAGCTTCGCCTCCGGCGCCGGCTCCACCAAGGATCCCTGAAAAGGAAAGCACGCTTTTAACTCGCCGCCTTCTCAGCGGAGTGTGTGGTCTGACTTCTGAGTGGGCGGGCTCTCCGCCTGCTCGACGGAATGCTTCAGCGGCCTAGCGAGGCGGGGCGGGTCCGGGGAGCTCACCGCGACAGCCTTGTCGGGTATGTCGGGAGCGGTGACGGCAGGTGAGGCGCTGGCGCACAGGTCAAGCCTCCTCCTCGCCGAGGCAACCCGGTTACGGCACGCCGCGATGTGGTGCCGCCGCCGCGGGTGCCGATTATAGCAGCGCGGTGCCGCGGGAGCTGCTGCGGGGGTGGTCGCCGTGCCCAGCGCCGCCATGGGAAGTTCGGAGAAGTGGCGCAGTCCTGGTCCCTGGAGACTGGAGGCGCGGCGGAGAGAGGACCGGAGGAGGCGAAGCGGAATCCAAAGTGGGCAGAGGAGCACGGAGGGAGCAGGTGTGCCCACGACAAGGCACGCTATTTGTGGTGGTGACGTGCGCGCAGTGAGAGCTGATGTGTCGGTCTACATCAAGCACGGCATGGGCCCCTAGGCTGATACTGCTGTGAAAAGTGCTGACGGGCCGACCCATGCACTGTTGGCCTGCCTAGAGATTTTCTCCTAGCTTTTTATTTAATGGGCCATAAGATCATTAATCCATGATCAGTCAAAGTTATTTGTATTTATTTAATAATAAGTTGTCACATAGGTATTTTCAACGTTCTTAAAAAAAAGAAATGAGTTTCATGTGGATGAAACTCTCTTGGCACGATTATCATCTCCGTAGGAATTATGAAATTAAATGTCTATAAAACTATATAACGATGAAAGTTTCATTGAAATGGATGTTTCATCTATATTTTATTTCATTTTATATGACGTGACAGTTTTGAAAACAATACCATAAAACTCGTTGAATAGGTCTTAAATGCTCATGCTACTTCCTCCGTTCCATTATTTGTTTACAAAAGAAGTACAATTATTACAAAGAAAATACAATTACTACGTGCGAGGGCACCTACGTCATTTCCCACTAGCACTAAGCCATGTTTAGATTAATTGTTATTTGCTAAAAAAAATACTAGTCCTAGGTGATCAAAATATAAGGATTAATGGGTAGACTAGAGATTGATTAAATATGTGGCTAGTTGTTGATGTTAACAACCAACTAACAAGAGATACAAGACAAAGGGAATACCTCGCTAGATTCTCGAGTTTGCTTAGGTGACTTAGGCCTTGTTGTTTCATTGTTGTTTACATTTATGAACACCCCCCGTGATGATAAGGGTCGGTGCATAGAGCGTAGATAAGTGTAGAGTGACGGGTGACCTATTCCATTTTGCTATTTGGGTTGCTTTTACTGTCCACTATAAGACCACCCACAATGTACTCAATGCTAGAAAAACTAATGCGTATGTCTGAAAGTCCAGTTTGGTTTTGATAATTAATGGCAACATTTGTGGACCAGTGATTTTATGAGCCATGAAAGAATAAGTGTTAGTCCACAATCGAGATTGAGCTACATGAAGACCAAGAGGATAAGATGGCATGAACCATGTGATGCAAAAGCTAAACAAGGTGAAAATAAAGATGAATGATGGAATACAAAGTGAAGGCAACGGTTTATGTATAGGTTTTGTCTTTCACCGGCCCACATGGTGTTTAGTGAAGTGAGGTAGCTAGATTGATAGGTTAGATATTTGTGCTATTAAGAGGAGCAAATCAAGTTTGCATATGGTTATCTAGCGCCACTTGTGAGGTCTCTAACTACATTGCATATAGATTCAACTAGTGTTTCAAAAATCACGTGACAAACTTTTAGAAAATATTTGAAAATGCTAAAGGTGAATGTTATCCCGTGGTGATATCTGGTGCTCTCGTTTTCTGTGTTAAAAAGTCTCAACAACTCTTTTGGTGTATGGGCTATAAACATATGACTTGGAAGGGCTTGGCCACTCTCTTGGACCTCCTAGTTGATATCCACACACATTAGAGCACAAGTTAACCTTCCACTTTCATTTGCTTGCTAGTGATTGCATCTTTGGAGAGATTCGAGTGGTTCTAGTGCATTTGCTTTGAGAAATTGAATTAAGTGACACTAGGGATCAATTTGTAGTACACTTTGTTGTTACTCTTGATGGTTGCCACCACCTAGATGCCTTGAAGTTGCGCGACTCCGTTGAAGCACTTAATTAAAGATCGTGTGGTGTTTCAGAGGAGGATTTGTGAGGGAGTATTAGATTCCACGTCGCAAAGAGGCAAAGAATCACTCCGGTGAAAATAGGTATTTGAGAGTGTCTTGTGATCAAGCAAGAATAGTTTTCTCACAATGTCATGACTCAGAATAGTGAAAAGAGATATTTGCTTAGCACTGAAGCAAGAATGACTTCCTAATTCCTGCCTTTTTTTTTACTTCACCATGGGTCCACACAATGGCCCTGTTTACTTCTCTTATAATCCGTACTTTTCAGCTTGTTTTTTCAGCCGGAACAGTATTTTCCTCTCACAACAAATCAGCCGGAACAGTGTTTCGGCTTGTTTTTTCAGCGAAGCGAACGGGGCCAATGTCATGACTCGATGCTTCAAGACTCTTCTTTCAGTATCGGTAGAGAACCAACATTGTGGCTAGTCTAAGATAGATGTGGTATGATAGAAAGTTGTGCACACTCAAAAGGGGATCTGAGAATTATATCGCATGTGTGTTGGTTTGGTGAGGACATGAGATGCATGGATATCTCTTATTTTTATATGAGATTTAAGAGGGCACGTTCATTCTAATATTTTTGTTTTTTAGAGAGATCTAGATAAGAGCATGTTTAATTACACTTGTGTCTATTTCAATCCATATATAATTAAAATAAAAATAGTTAAATTTTCACCTTTTATTATTATTATTACATATGAATTGAGCGAGGGTATGAGTATAACCAATCAAAACCTGAATGGGATGACACAGGTTTTGATACTATTAACGACCGTTACTAGCGGGGCTCACCTGTTATCTATCGACCCCATCTGTCATTCTCCCTCTAACTATTATTGTTTCTTCATTTGGCGTGCCTCGTCTTCTTCTCTGCGTGGACACGGAGTGACGGAGCGCCGTCGGGCTCGTCGCGCCTCCCCCGCCGCTCCCCCTGTACGCGCCTCGAGCCGGTGGCCGCCGCTCTCTCGACCTCCCGGACCTACTGCCCGAGCTGGTGGCCTCGAGCCGTAATCACTGGAGAGGATGCGCTGAAGACTGAAACATGAGCTGGGCGAACGAGGTACATGTTCGATGCTAGGTTTTCTTAGCTTAACTTCTTCGCGAGGCTAGATTAAATTAAATTACTGATGGCGGCGGCGGTAGCCTTGTAGGATTCGTTTATTTGTGGTTGGGGCTGAAATGTGCTGGTCTGCGTTTAGATGATTTGTGGCTTGGCAGTTTATAAATCCTCGGTTTGTTGATTAGATCTTGGAATAGGGCAACCTGTCCCTTTAGGCAAGAATGGGCAGATATCCTCGTAAGAACTCATGAATTGTTGCATCTTTTTTTTTCTTTGTTTATTAGTATAATTTTATTGGTGCCTGAGGATGCTCACGCAGCGAATAACTTGCAACACCATGATCTTTGAAGCACTATGTCTTTTTCCCCTACCTTTGATGATTGCTTTGTTTTCTCTAGGTATTTTTCATTGCGTGATGATAACCATATGCCATTGATTTGACCAGGTTATGGGGAAACCAGATCCACAACACGCCCGTAGCTGATAGTGAGAGGGGAAATAGCACCAAAGGCTGCAGATTTTTGCGCAAGAAGAAAACAATATCTCCAATTCTTTAGCTTTCTCTTTTTCTTCCAAAGGGGGTAAAAAAGGAGAGAGATATATATGCAAAGGCAAAGAAGTGATTGACTGAAGATCAAGTTTACGGCTGCAATCAAATTTACTTCTATGCTACTGAAGATGGAAGAAGAGGCTAACACAGTACACCGTTACTCCAATGCGTAAGTAATAGATCTCCATCTTGTTTTCTCGTAAGTTTTAGTTGTCCCCAGGTATCGCTACTCATGTTCTCTTTGGCACAGATTTTAGTAAAAGATTAAATGAGTTTTTGGGTTAGTATATTTATGCACTAGTCTCATACTTGGTAGTATTCTTATTCTTATACAGTGAGACCTTGATGCCTAGTTTGGCACCATATGTTGGCATGGAATTTAGAAATTCAGATGAGGCTTGGGCATTTTGGCTTAGCTATGGTGGGCAAAAAGGCTTTGAGGTGAGAAAAAGGTATACAAACAAAAGGTCATCTGATGGCAAAATTACATCATGTAGATTTGTTTGTGCAAATGAGGGTTGTCGATCACGAGACAAAAGGGATCATTTAACAAGGCGCCCTCGACCTGAAACTAGAACCGATTGTAAAGTCCACATGAGTCTTAAACTGGACTGAAAGAAAGGCAATTATGAAGTGTTTGAGCTGGTTTTGGAACACAATCATATACTACACCTGCTAGAAACCTTACAATTGGTGGTACCACAAAGGAAAATTTTAGATTTACAAGCTATTGAAATTGAAACTGCAGATGATGTGGGAATTGGGACAAAGGTGGCACATGAATTGGCTATTCACCATGTTGGCAGATCACCCAATCTTAGCCACACCCTTCAAGATCAAAAGAACTATTTGTTGACCAAGCGCCAACGGGAGATGGCATATGGCCAAGCAGGTAGCATGCTTAAGTATTTTCAAGATAAAATTGCTGAGATCCCATCATTCCAATATGCATTGCAAATGGATTGTGAAGAGCAGATAGCAAATATATTCTGGGTTGATGGTAAAATGATCATGGACTATGCACATTTTGGTGATGTTGTTAGTTTTGACACTTTTGGAACAAATAATGGGAGTAGGCCTTTTGGTGTCTTTGTTGGATTCAATCATTTTAGAGAAACTGTAATATTTGGTGCTGCTCTCATGTATGATGAAACATTCGAGTCCTTCAAGTGGTTGTTTGAGGCCTTTCTAAAAGCTCATAGTGGACAGCAGCCTAAAACAATCTATACGGATCAAGATTTTGCAATGGAAAAGGCAGTTGTAGAAGTGTTTTTAGAAGCATGACATGGATTATGCACCTCGCACATTATGCAAAATTTTGTCAAACATCTTCATGAAGATAAGAATGAAGACACAAGCATTCTATCAGATTTTAGGGCATGCATGTTTGAGTATGAGGACATAGCAAAATTTGAACATAAATTTGACATCATGAGGAAAAAGGTGAACAAACAAACTTGGTTGGATAGTATATACAAGTTGAAAGAAAAATAGGCTGAATGTTATATGAATGATGTCTTCACATTAGGAATGAGGAGTACACAGCTGAATAAGAGTCTAAACAATGATTTGAATGTCCTCTTTGAAACTGATTTTGATATCGTCCAGTTCTTGAAGCATTTTGAAATGGTGGTGCAAGGTAAAAGGAATAATGAACTGAATTTAGAATTTGACTCAAGGAAAAAGTTGCCAGAAATCTATATGAGGAGACCACCGCCTATGTTGGTGCATGCTAGCAAGCTGTATACACCTATTATATTTGAAGCTTTTCAAGATGAATATGAAAGATCCTTGGCAGCTTGCACCAAGGCATTGGATAGTAATAATGAATATCTAGTATGAGATTTTACCTTTGAGGAGGGGTACAAAGTTACTGCTGATCCGTTGAAGCAAACAGTTTTATGCAGTTGTAGGCAATTTGACAGAATTGGGATATTGTGTGCTCATTCTCTTAAAGTTATTGATTTGATGAATATCAAGTCACTACCACCACAATATGTGTTAAAGAGATGGACATGGGAAGCACGGACTGGAACTATACAAGACAACCAGGAAAGAAATATAATCGAAAATCAAATTATGGATGCTACTCTTCGCTACAGATATATGTCTCATAAATTCTCAATTTGGCACATAGAGCAACACAGTTTCCAGAATGCACCATGTTAGTAGACAACACGCTTGACATCCTTGGTAAGGAAATTGAAGACAAAATCAATGAATGTACAAGCATTTCTAGGGATCCACTTGACATCCTTGGCAAGGAAATTGAAGACAAAATCAATACATGTACAAGCACTTCTGGGGATCCACATACAATTCGCATGGATGATCTTTTTGGTGGAGAGCTTGTATTCCGGTGAAGGAAGCAAGAAGCCAAGAACTCGGCTATGTTTTTGCATTTGGCAAGCAACCTAGAAGCATGGAAGTCTGTATGCATGTTCGGGCCTGGGAGCATGGTCATTTGGTGGCAATGAATTTTGCCACACCTCATTCTACTTTGCCACCAGAATTATGTAACCAAGCTGACAATATTTAGTGTTCTACCCTCAAATTGACAGCACTCTATGATGTATATATGTTTAGCTTTCTTTTGCCATTTTGCAAGCAGATATTTTGGGAGCATGGCCACACATTTTGCATGCCCCTTTTCAGTTTTATTTTGGATAGCTATGCTGAATCTTAGAATAGTTCTCAATGCAGCAGCAGCACATTCTAATATTTAGTTAGTAGATTTTGATTTTCATTTGAGCATTCTGAATCAATCCAGTAAACATTTAGGCATTCATTTGAGCCATCAGAATCCATTTCAATTTATAATTTTAATTAACTTTCAGAACATTCAGCAAAGCTCATTTGGTCACAACCACATTCAGTATAGGTCTGCCAATCTTAGCAGGTCTCTCCTAACCATCAGTAAGAATGTTCATAGAGTGGCATGGCACTACAAGCTTTGGTTGCTGAAATGTGCGAATGTTTCAGACTCCAGAGCGATCAAGTAGCACCGTAGCAAGTGTAAGCAGGCACCATATTGACAAGGTGGAGCATTTCATGTTTCTACAGGTTCACGTGTGCCGACATTTCAAATATGTTCGCTCTTGATCTTGATCTTCTGGTATAGCTGCAATCATATTTGAATTTGTCTAGTCACTAATCAGTCAGATAACTTAGTGCCACCGGAGATCTCTGAATCTACTGTAAGAAATTTAAGCTTTAAAAATTTTCAGTCCTCTGTGCATACTTGTAATTATGTGTATCTGCTAACTCTTCGGGCCTGTTTGGATCCTATGAATTGAAACTGATACTTAGAAAGTGCTTCCCATTTCATTATTATATTACTTTCTAATTAGTCTCAATTCCTAGGAACCAAACAGGGCCTTCATGTTTTATTTCAAGGCATGACCAGACTGTAGGATAGCAACAATTGACCAGTTGGATGTTGTTTCAGATTTTTCAGAAGCCATTTGACAACATCTTTTGCCAGGTCGGTGTCCAGTTTCCATCAGTCCAAAGTCAGTAGACACGTAATTCAGACCGAAGCAACACATTGGGATTTTGGTTGCCTGTTCCTCCAATTGACACAGAAATGGTAAATAACATACTCTCCTGCGTTAACAAGTACTCCCTGCTTGGATTTAATTGACGTTTCGGACGTTACTCCATAGCGCTTTTGATTTTGACAAGACATGGTTTTTAGTAACTTAGGACAATTTCCATAATGGCGGAGGAACATACCTTACTGGTAATTTCTCTCCACAATTTGTCATATTGATACCTCACCAGATAAGGTTAGTCTGTCCTTGAATTTTTATATGCTTGTATGTCATTAGCTCCTCTGCATGCATGGTTTCTCTTTCGGAATATTTGTGAACTTCTTTAGACATGTTTATCGTGGGCTTCTTGTGATGCAGTCGAGTGTGTTCCCATCAAATTAGTTCCCCTGAACTCGATGCACTAACGGTGCATACTTATCAATACTCAACGCAGTGATTGCTGACAGCCTGATGTATTTTAATCCTGTTGAACACTCCTTTGACTTCGATTTATGTAGCCTACACCAGAACTGCGAACCCTCTCTATGGCTCTATTTTTAGGTTGTGATGAGTTTACTACCTCTTCGTACAATTTCTGTTCAGGAACACGATAGAACTGAATGTTCACTCGACAAACTAATAAGAAATTTAATACAATGCCATATGATAACACACATATTCAGAACATACATGTTTGTTGGAACTGGATTATTAAAACACGCACACATAGATCCCTACCCTCTACGCTCACAACGGAAGGATACACGCTAAAACTTGTCAGACGACCACCGCCTCCACGTTGCCGTGCCGCGGCGACTCGGCCGCGTTCGGGCATGCTAGGATCTGGTACACCAGCGCAGCGACGGCGGCGCCGACCATCGGGCGGGCCCAGTACACGGCCTGGTTCTTGAAGTGTCCACTGACGACCGCCGCGCCGAACGAACACGCCGGGTTCATGGACGCGCCCGTCAGCGAGCCTGCGGACAGCACGCACGCGCCCTCCGTGAGCCCAACTGCCAGCGCGCCCAGCACCGTGGCTGCGAACCCCCGCTTGCCTCCACTGCCGCCGGTGCCGCTCAGGCGAGGAGGCTCGCCGACCACGTGCACCGTGTACACCAGCAGGAACGTGAGCACGCCCTCTAGGACCGCACCGCCGAACCCGGTCATCGCCACCGCGATCCTCATCATCGGCACCTCCTGCACGATGTGCGATCATTGTGAAACGGCTAGTTAGTGTCAGAAAGGAAGCGATATATATAGCGGTTACATGCCTCGCCGGCGGAGAAGAGGTTGAGGGAGAGGCAGGCCAGGGTGGAGCCGAGCAGTTGCGACGCCCAGTAGAAGATGGCGCTCGGGACGCCGATGTGGCCGCCGATGGCGTAGGTGAACGTGACGGCAGGGTTGACGTGGCCGCTGGAGACGTCGGCGGCGATGAGTACTGCGGCGAAGAGCCCGAACGCCTACGCGATGGCGGTGGCCACCAGGGGCGAGGCGCTGCCGCTGCTGGTAACGTCCGGCGTCGTCAGCATCCCTGCCAACACACACATTCCAAACGCAGTCGCACAGAGATCAGATCGAAAACCGTCCATAATTACAATTCTATATTAACTTATGTGCATGGAAAGCAAGGAAACTTGACGTACGAGCGGAGATGGCGGAGCCGACGGCGGTGAACACGAAGAGGAAGGTGGAGATGAACTGAGGTACGAACGGAGCGATGGCACCGAGAAGCAGTGCTTCAAGTGGACAAGGAGGTTGTTCGACTCCATGGCACAACTTCTTCGCTGTTTCAGTGTATGTTGTGCGCGCACAAATTCCGCACCGCATATGGTTACGGAGAGTGTTCCGGTGTTTTATAGCGACGACGGAGAGGGACGCGTCTGTAGAGTGAAACGACGCCTGGGTAGTTCGCAGCGGTTGATGCCGCGCACACGTCCCTCCCTTCCAAGTTCACACGCCCACCCGTTGAGGCCAGTGTAGCAGTGTGTGCCGCGTATAATGTCCATGCAGCCCGAGGCACGGCGGCCCAGCACGAAGCCCACATTTTTGGCCTGACCCAAGCACTGCATGACCCGATGGTCAACGGGCCCGGTCTGGCTCGGCTTGAGGGTACAGGTCGTGCCTAGGCCGTCGCTCAAGCCCATGGGCTGGCACGACATGGCCTGGCCTACAAGGGTCGACTCGGTAGCGGCCCGGCATCCTCCGACCCCCAGTCCCCCGCGGCCTGCCAGCCGACCCAGCCCCAACGGCTCCCCCTGCCTCCCCCCCTCATATATAAGTGCGTAGATGCAGCGCCCTCTCCCTCACCCTGAACCCTAAATCATTTCCACTCCTCCCCCACCGTGCCGCTCTCGCCTCGCCGTCTCGTTTGCTGGTGGCGTCCGACCCCCCCAACTTCGGTGACCTCAATCTGCCTGCTGCCGGCGAGCCGCTCGCTACTCCTCGTCTCCTCCTACCTGATCCCCTCCCTCTCCACCTCTCCCTTCTCCCTCTCCCTATCTCCCCTCTTGATCTCGGTGATTATGTGAGTTCGTGTCCCCGACTCCTCGTCTGTCCCTCCTCCACCGCTCATCATCCTTCTAACCGGTGTGTCGTCTTCTCTGGGTGGCCCTCGTCTTCTTCGGCACCGGGCTCGGGTTGCGCAGGTACAACCCTAACCCTAACCCTAACTCTAACCCTAACCCTCCTCTTCTTCCATTGATGATTGATCTATTCTGATCTGTTCTTTTCCTCCTCCATCTCTTTGCGCAGGTCGGTGGCCGATGCGTCGTCCTCTAGCTGTGGCATAGAGCGACCAAGGCTGCCCCGCACATAGTTGAGGAACGGTGCTGGAGAGCCCTCCGCGGTCGAGGGCGCCATGGCTGGTGCTGATGACGAGATCATCTGGCCGCTCACCGACAACGATGATCTAATCATGGCAGGTCTGTCCCCTGAGGACGACGACACCCATGAGGACGCTACTGCCTTGTTCGATATCGATGTCGGTGGTGGCTCTGTTGCTCCGATCGATCTGGACAGCGACAGTGGTGAAGGGGCGACGACGACTAGGACCCCGGCCTGCTCCAACGGCTCAGCTCCATCTGTTGCTGGTAACTCTTCTGGTGTTGGTACTAGTAAGCGTAAATCTGCTGTGTGGGCTGATTTTGATGAGATCTATAAGACTGTGAATGGTAGGAAAATCTGCACTAAAGCTACCTGTAAAATGTGTAAGCATACTTTGTCTGCTAGATCTAATGCTGGCACTGGCCACTTGAAGAGGCACCATAAATCTTGTAGGCAGAAAACTGATCAAGCTGCTAGGGTTCAGTCTAGGCTTACTTACAATCCTGATGGTTTTATGCATAACTGGGACTATAAATCTGATGTTGCTAGATCTGAATTGTGTCGCTTGATTGCTAGGCTTGATTTGCCGTTGGATATTGGTGAGACAGATGCATGGGAGGAGTACATGAGATCTTAGTAAGCTATTTACTGAACGTCGTAATATGCTTAAGAATTCTATGTTATCTAGTGCTTTATCTGTTGCTTTGACATCAGACATTTGGTGTGGTAATGCTAAGGAGGACTACATTAGTGTTGTTGCTCATTATGTGAGTGCAGATTGGGAGTTACAAAAAAAGGTTATTGGTCTGAGGTTGATTGAGGTGAAGCATACTGGTGAAAATATTGCTGAAAAAATTGCTTGTGTGGTTGAGAAATTTGGTTTGATTGACAAGGTTTTCTCTATAACTCTAGATAATGCTTCTTCTAATGCTAAGGCTATGGATACTTGGACACCTATGTTTGCTGGTTATTTGGGTTGTGATCCTTCACCTGAGCCTGTAAATCCTAATCAGCGTAAGTATAGTCTTGTGCATCAACGTTGTGCTTATCATATCATTAATCTGATTGTAAAATCTAGTTTAAAGAGGTTCAAACCTTACACAGAAGATTTTAGAACTACTATTAATTTCTTAAATTCTTCTAATCAAAGAATTACTATGTTTAAGAACTATTGTACTGCTCAGGATGTTAGACCTAGAAAGTTTGGCTTAGATATGGATGTTAGATGGAATGCTACATACCTTATGCTTAAACACTTGGTTCCATATAATGATGTTTTCTATGTTCATTAATGCAAATTATGGCTCAACATTGTTGACTGTAAGGCATTGGCATATAGCTAAAAAGATATTGGAGTTCCTGAAAATATTTTATGAATCTATAGTTGTTCTTTCTGGTGTTTACTATCTAACTAGTCCACTTATTCTACACCATCTGCTAAACATTGCTTCTCATTTGCATACAAGTGAAAAAGATCAAAATCTAATAGATGTTGTCTATCCTATGAAGCTTAAATTCCTTAAATACTGGCAGGATATATCTCTGTTATATTCATTTGCTTTCATTCTTGATCCTAGAGCTAAGTTGAGAGGTTTATTTAATGTTCTACAAATACTTAAAGAGAACACTGGTGTTGATTACAGTTCATATTATGCTGATATGAAAACTAAAATTTACATGTTGTTTAACAAATATGAGAGAAAGTTTGGTGCAGCTAGGTCTCAGAGGCCTGCACAGCCTGTAGGCCATATAGGTAAGAAAAAATAGACATGGGGAAGAATCTTTGGAGGCCCTAGATCATCTGGTGTTGTTGGTCCTTCCCCTACCTTTGCCCGCACTTCATCTCAATCTACTTCTACTGCTAGTTGTGAGCTCACAACTTATCTGGACAGTGACAATGTCACTGCATATGAGGATGACTTTGACTTACTTCTCTAGTAGTGTGACCGCAAACAAACCTATTGAAAGGTCCTTGTTTTGGTTTTGGTAATTGAGTGACAACCTTAGGTGGACTAATGTGTTTAAGTGAGATACACAGGTGATTAGTCCACAGGTACATGTGTGTGAGCAACATATGCCATGACGGTGATGATGGCTCAAAGATGTTGCAAAGCTCACACATGTGATGATGAAAGAGCTTATTGCACATGAAACATGACATGGAGTCATGTGATCAAGGTGGAGAAGATCAAGATATGACTTGGCTTGATGGACCGGTTGCAAGCGTGAAGGGCAAATCGGAGGCTTTTGAGTGATGGACCGCGTGGCGGTGAAGCTTAAGCAAGACTTGGCACCGATGAACGAAGGCAATGGTGAAAAGCAAGTAAAGTCAAGATCGATGAACCAATACAGTCACGTGATGATATGAAGTGGATCATATCATTTGGTGATTGGTTGGTGCATGTGTTGCATCAACAATGGAGGAGATGGAATGGAATGCGCAAGGCAAAAGGTATAACCTAGGGCATTTCATTTCACCGGTCATATGTGTATAGAGAAGTTGATGACCGGGTTTAGGATAGATGGCCATACTATCAAGAGGGGCAAACTTGTTTGCATATCGGTCATCTAGTGCCACTCGAGTGATCTAACTTTGCATCGTTGCTAGGATTGAGTGGCGTGGCAAGTTGAATGGCTAATCCTTTGAAAATGATTGTGAAAATACTAACACACATACACATCGTAGTGTACACTTGTTGGTGTTGGTACATTTGCAAAGGAGAAAAAGTTGGAGTTGATGTGGATCAACTCGGCGATGAAACGGAGGTGAAAAGGAGGTCACTGTTAGTGACCGGACGCTGGCCTCGGTAGGATCAGCGTGTCCGGTCAGTGACATCAGTTGGGTGAGGTCTCGGTCATGTGACCGAACACTGCACAGTAAAGGTGATCGGACGTGCATGGCCTGTGTCTGGTCGCGTGAGACGTATGCTGACGTCTTGGCACGAGAAACAGTAGTGACACGTGATAGTCGGAGAACGACTAGACTCAGGTTCTGCGTCCGATCATGACTGACCTAACACGTCCGGTCGCAAAATAGAGGCTCGGGGAGCTCTCTGGAAACGACTGGACTATGGCTGGTCTGTGTCCGGTCGCAAAACAGAGGCTCAGGGAGCTCTCTGAAAACAACCGGACTTAGGCGTAGCAGCGTCCGATCATCCTCGCGGTGCGTCCGGTCACAACTTAACCGTTGAGATCGAGCACTCAGTATTTGAAGCCAGGGATGATGTGGCAGCCATCCATTGACCGGACGTTGGCAGGGTGCGTCCGGTAGATCTGACCGGCGCGTCCGATCGTCCCGAGCAGTGCCCAGTGAAGGGGTACAACGGCTCTATTTTCGTGGGGGCTATAAATAGAAGTGTGGGTCG